CTCTACAGACTTTACTGCAATGATATAAGTTATTGAATGAGAGGGCTTGGCTCTAGTTAGGCTCTATTGTACCTGGTTAGGTACATTTAGCTGTAGATCCAAGCCCTCTCTTTCAATAACTCATATCATTGCAGTAAGGTCTGTAGAGATAATATTTGATGATATTTAAAAGAAACGCATTGCCAGTAAATTTATTTGTATAAAATTTTAACGATAGATGGCAATTAAATTTATACATTTAATTTATAAGGCACAATTTGGATTATAGATTATAAACACAAGGTAATAAGACCAAATCCAAATAAATAAATAGTGTGTGACGTTTCGTTAACAGCGTTGTTACCATCTTCAGGCAAAAGTACTGAATGAATTCATTTTCTTCAGGTCATAGGAAGAATAACTTCTTAGGTCCATTGAAGTCAATAAAATTGATAAGGCACAATTTGGATTACAGTACTTTTGTCTGAAGATGGTAACAACGCTGTTACCGAAATGTCACACACTATTTATTTATTTGGTCTTATTACCTTGTGTTTATAATCTATAATCCAAATTGTGCCTTATCAATTTTATTGACTTCAATGGACCTAAGAAGTTATTCTTCCTATGAGCTGAAGAAAATGAATTCCATTCAGTGCTTTTGTCTGAAGATGGTAGCAACGCTGTTACCGAAACGTCACACACTATTTATTTATTTGGATTTGGTCTTATTACCTTGTGTTTACATTTAATTTACTAATATATAATGTCTTTTGAATCCAAGAAAATATATTTTATGTAAACATTAAAAAAAGATTTAAAATTTACTTTGAAAATAAGAAGAAGACGTTCTAGAAAGATAGGAGAAGGACGTGCATTGTATAAAAAGTAGGACAGAACGACTCCAAGAATGTCCTGATAAAAATTTGGGTTGCAGCAGCTCTCTTAGGTTGGTTGCCATTGTTAGGAATGACGGAATATTCTGAGGAATTATTTCTCTTTTTTAGGTAAAAATTTATTTACTAAAATAATGTAGTATATCCTTCTCTCAATATATGATAAGTATTTAAAATATATATATAATAATGTGTTTATAAAAATAGTATTTATTATTAATTTGTTAACGTGATAATCCTGTTGAAGAACTGACAAGTCCGAAAGCTTGAAAATAAGAAGTTGAACAAGAAACTTAACCCTGGAAGCTTTATTTATTTTATAATACTAAAATAATTGTTGAAAATGTGTAACCTTTGGATTATATTCTATACTCATGGACAAAATTTAAGGAAGTTGTATCTTTTAGCATGTATATCGGGATTGAGACAATAACTCTGAAAGATACACTCATGGACAAAACTTAAGGAAGTTGTACCTTTCAGCATGTATATCGGGATTCAGACAATAACTCTGAAAGATACACTCATGGACAAAACTTAAGGAAGTTGTACTTTTTAGCATGTATATCGGGATTCTGACAATAACTCTGAAAGATACACTCATGGACAAAACTTAAGGAAGTTGTACCTTTTAGCATGTATATCGGGATTCAGACAATAACTCTGAAAGATACACTCATGGACAAAACTTAAGGAAGTTGTACCTTTTAGCATGTATATCGGGATTCAGACAATAACTCTGAAAGATACACTCATGGACAAAACTTAAGGAAGTTGTACCTTTTAGCATTGATATATAGGGATTCAGACAATCTCTCTGAAAGATACACTCATGGACAAAAATTAAGGAAGTTGTACTTTTTACCATGTATATCGGGATTCAGACAATAACTCTGAAAGATACACTCATGGACAAAACTTAAGGAAGTTGTACTTTTTACCATGTATATCGGGATTCAGACAATAACTCTGAAAGATACACTCATGGACAAAACTTAAGGAAGTTGTACCTTTTACCATGTATATCGGGATTCAGACAATAACTCTGAAAGATACACTCATGGACAAAACTTAAGGAAGTTGTACTTTTTACCATGTATATCGGGATTCAGACAATAACTCTGAAAGATACACTCATGGACAAAACTTAAGGAAGTTGTACCTTTTAGAATATATATCAGGATTCAGACAATAACTCTGAAAGATACACTCATGGACAAAACTTAAGGAAGTTGTACCTTTTAACATGTATATCGGGATTCAGGCAATCTCTCTGAAAGATACACTCATGGACAAAACTTAAGAAAGTTGTACCTTTTAACATGTATATCGGGATTCAGACAAATAACTCTGAAAGATATTACAGTGACCTTTATTAAATACACATGAGATAACCAAGTGTGAACAACCTCTGTCTCCTTCAAAAATAGGCAATCACAAGTCTATATCCAAACTAAAATGTGTTCTCTATTTGAGTATGTGGGGGTCAGTGGACAAGTGATATAAACCGTCGATTTTTTTATAGCCACGACTTGGGATCGAATCCCGAATTGGACATCTTTTTTTCTGAAATAAACAAATTGCTTTAATGGGGCCTCCGATTTCTTCAAATTTCCAGAAGAGTCGGTGGATGAGTGGGTAACCCCCTCGATTCCCGACAGCCATGAACCGGGATTGAATCCCGTGTTAACATTTTGTTTAATATATGAATAACCATCATATATTATTCATTTTTTAAGGAATAACTCTTATCATGACCAATTTAGTATGAAGTAAGGAATGAAGAGTAGCTTCTTACATAGACACTTTATTCACGCTAGCTTTCGAACCTATGAGGTTCTTCAACAGGCTTAGGTAGCTTTTTACACTAACCCAAGCCTGTTGAAGAACCTCATAGGTTCGAAAGCTAGCGTGAATAAAGTGTCTATGTAAGAAGCTACTCTTCATTCCTTACTTCATACTAAATATTATTCATTGTGGCAAAAATCATAAACTAGGTTGATCTTGTTGAGCGGTACCTAATAAAGTGATTTTTGGAACAAGAAGAAATTCAAAATTCCAGACCCCACCGGTGAGTGAAGTTAACAAAACGGGATCTAGGTACATTTCGTAAGTGCATAAGTCCTCATTTCTACAAGTGTAGACATGAGGTATACTTACAGTAAAAGCAGTCGCTATCTACTATTCACCATGACGTATCATTGGCTGTATTACTTGTACTAAGAATAATAATATTAAAAAATTATCAATCTGTACTTAAAAAAAAAAAACATAAATTTATTCGAGAGCTGCACATTCAAAAATATATAGATTTTTAAAAACTTAATTGTCTTTGTATTCAAGGGAGATTTGAGATTGTGTAAATGGTAAATTATTGCGACCTGGAAAATGTTCGATTTTTATAATATTGTAACATGGTATTTATCAATTTTATTTATGTAACATAGTATTTATTAATTTTATTAACAGAGTGGTCTTTTTATATTTTATATCTTGCGACTCTGTAAATTTCCCTCGTGGCTTATCTTTTGTTTACCTTTCTTAGTTTGTCCTTCCCTGAAATATATTGCTGTCCCCTCCTGAAGTTTTTGTCTTCCCTAATTTTCGACGTGGCATTTTGGTGGAGATGCTGGGTAAGTTAGGGAAGACAAATTGAAGACCGCCGAAAAGACCTTGAAGCCATGGGTGCTGTGATCTACATTTTCGAGACTGACTCCAGGATTCCACCGCCGTGCTAAAGCCAAGACTTCCCCCGAAGATGACGATGTCCCTATAGACGATACGACGACAAAGCCGCTCTTCACGCCGCAAGAAAAAAGACGCAAAGGTACAAGGGACAAAGTTCCAAGACTTCGATGGAATCCTTGGCAGAAGCACGTCAAATCCACGTCAGTATCTACAATAATTGCTAGCTGTGGGTCACAGCTCCCATAGGGAAGAAGCTATGTAACATGGTATTTATCAATTTTATTTATGTAACATAGTATTTATTAATTTTATTAACAGAGTGGTCTTTTTATATTTTATATCTTGCGACTCTGTAAATTTCCCTCGTGGCTTATCTTTTGTTTACCTTTCTTAGTTTGTCCTTCCCTGAAATATATTGCTGTCCCCTCCTGAAGTTTTTGTCTTCCCTAATTTTCCACGTGGCATTTTGGTGGAGATGCTGGGTAAGTTAGGGAAGACAAATTGAAGACCGCCGAAAAGACCTTGAAGCCATGGGTGCTGTGATCTACATTTTCGAGACTGACTCCAGGATTCCACCGCCGTGCTAAAGCCAAGACTTCCCCCGAAGATGACGATGTCCCTATAGACGATACGACGACAAAGCCGCTCTTCACGCCGCAAGAAAAAAGACGCAAAGGTACAAGGGACAAAGTTCCAAGACTTCGATGGAATCCTTGGCAGAAGCACGTCAAATCCACGTCAGTATCTACAATAATTGCTAGCTGTGGGTCACAGCTCCCATAGGGAAGAAGCTATGTAACATGGTATTTATCAATTTTATTTATGTAACATAGTATTTATTAATTTTATTAACAGAGTGGTCTTTTTATGTTTTATATCTTGCGACTCTATAAATTTCCCTCGTGGCTTATCTTTTGTTTACCTTTCTTAGTTTGTCCTTCCTTAAAATATATTGCTGTCCCCTCCTGAAGTTTTTGTCTTCCCTAATTTTCCACGTGGCAATATACCGAAGCATTTTAAGTTTTAATTATTCTTGAAATTTTCAGTCTTACATTGTGTGCGAATTATATCTCTAGTTTATAAATTGTAGCGTAGTATTTATTATTAACTTATCAATTTTGATATTTTGCTACTAGGTAAACTTACCTCTCATTTTGCTTCTCTTGTATTTTATACATTTTAATTTGTTCTAGAGAGACAGTGTCGTGTCATTCTAAGGTTTGTCTTTCCTAATTTCTCTACGTGACACCATATATATAAAATATGTAAATAGGGATTTAAAAATTAGATATCATAGAACGACATTTGAAAATTATCCCGCATGTTTTTCTTTTGAAAGAAAAATCGAAATTTATTTTAAGGAATAATAACGATTATTTCTAACATTAAGGATGAAGTATGATAGGATGAATTGTGAAAAGTAATGATAAACGGAGTGTCCACGGATGGGAAACGAACCCACAGTGTTCCGCTTACCGGGCAGATGCCATGTCCACTAGGCTACCCTGGACATATTTTTCCGTTCGTAAATATTATATATAGTAATCCCTGGAAACTTTATTCTTTCGTTTATCATTACTCTTCACAATTCATCCTTTTATACTTCATCCTTAAGGATAGAAATAATCGTTATTTCTCCTTAAAATAAATTTCGATTTTTTCGTTCAAAAGAAACATATACGCGATAATTTTCAAGTATCGTTCTACAATCATAAGCCGCATTATATTGTATTAGACATCTGGCCTTGGAGTTCCACTCACTTTGTCTTGTTCAACACTTGTACTACCTTGTCGTTTGGAGATTTCGTCACTTTTGACCACACGTTTATGCTCTGTTTACCCGCGCTATGGTGAAATAGATAGGCGTGACACTAACTGACTTAGCGGTTTCACGCATTGTTTGTATAGTATCTGTTTAGTGTCGATTTAACCCTTAATGGTGTATTTGCATATTGGCTGGCCTATTATGTTTTTACTCTCTATTTTTTAAAATGTTTTATTTGTTGGTTAGATAATTTTTAGGTTTTAAATTTACGTTTTTTTGATATCATGCATGTTTTTCGATATTTTTTACTAACTCCCCAAAATATTCATGTCTACATATGTAGTACCAGGCCATGGTGGGTAGTGACAGCTTGTACTGTAAGTACACCACGTGTCTACACATGTAGTACCAGGCCATGGTGGGTAGTGACAGCTTGTACTGTAAGTACACCACATGTCTACACATGTAGTACCAGGCCATGGTGGATAGTGACAGCTTGTACTGTAAGTACACCACATGTCTACACATGTAGTACCAGGCCATGGTTGGTAGTGACAGCTTGTACTGTAAGTACACCACGTGTCTACACATGTAGTACCAGGCCATGGTGGATAGTGACAGCTTGTACTGTAAGTACACCACATGTCTACACATGTAGTACCAGGCCATGGTGGATAGTGACAGCTTGTACTGTAAGTACACCACATGTCTACACATGTAGTACCAGGCCATGGTGGGTAGTGACAGCTTGTACTGTAAGTACACCACATGTCTACACATGTAGTACCAGGCCATGGTGGGTTATGAAAGCTTGTACTGTAAGTACACCACATGTCTACACATGTAGTACCAGGCCATGGTGGGTAGTGACAGCTTGTACTGTAAGTACACCACATGTCTATACATGTAGTACCAGGCCATGGTGGGTAGTGACAGCTTGTACTGTAAGTACACCACATGTCTATACTCGGCCGTGCGGCCACGCGTCGCGCGAGCTCCTGAGTGTTTCGCCTCTGGCGGGCGAAAAGTGTCGCGGATGGCGACAAATTTTATACGGGCTGAAAGCCCGTCAAAAGCCGAGCAAAAGCCTGTAAGGCACGGCTCACTAGCACAACCATGTGCAGAATTATCCGCAAATCAAGATTTGCAGAACGAAATTCCAATAGTTTTGAGAAAAAATCAAAACTATGTAAATCCGCCCGCCGGCGGCCAGGATGCAAATTCTGCCGCGCCGGTCGACCTTGCGGCTATTCCAACTTCTAACGCCGCTGCTCAAGTCCGGAGAAACTGGGCTGACATCACAGAAGAGGTGAATCCTGGAGCTGAGGAAGGATTTACCCTCGTCCAGGGTAGGAAGAGGCGCCGTGGCTCGGGGAATTCACCTACGACGGCTGCACCCTCCTCCAATGCCGGAGCTTCCAGGACCATTCGCCGACCTCAATCATCGGCGGGATCAGTGCCCCGAGCCCAAGAAATCAGGGCCACCAGGGCTCACATCGCGGATGCCAGGGCGCGGCAGGCGTCCTCTTCCGAGGAACACTGTGTGTACATCGAACACAGCCCCGAACTTGAGCCCTTCCACTACCTTAGGGCACTGGACAGGATGCTCGGAGGAACTGCCGGAGTCATCCAGATCACCAAGGTGAACGGCCACCAGCTCCTGGGACTGACCAACAGAGGCCTGGCCGAGCGCCTCATAAGTGAGGGCCTCGAGGTTGAGGGAACACTCCTCAGGGCATTCCCTTTCCGCAAAAGAGCGGAAAGGATTACAGTGGGTAACCTCCCCTTCTTTGTGGCGGACTCTGCTGTCATCACCGCCCTCTCTCCATATGGGCGGGTTACGTCCATCGCCCCTAAGCAGATGAAGGCGGGCCCCTACGTCTACGTCGATGGCCGGCGTGACGTCTTCATCACCCTACATGAGGGGATCACCATCGAGAGGCTTCCAACCCGCCTTGACATCAACATCAAAGGCCAAGCCTGGCCTGCGTACCTATCCTCGGGCATCAGGTGTTCCAGGTGCCACGGACAAGGGCATCGGAGGGCCATCTGCCCCCTGCTTGCAGGGCTGGCCAACAACACCAGAACGGCCCCACCGACCACTCCTGCTGGCGTCCCACCACCGACCACCCCTGCACCGCCTCAGCGGTCAGCAGCCCAGCCTCCTGCGCCAGCTCCCTCCAATCTAGCCATGGAGGTTTGCAGCGCTCCTCCCATGGCCCGAGCTGTGCTCCATCCATCCGCACCTCGGCCATCTCCACCAGCGACTCCAGCCTTACCTATGGAGGAGACGCCTACTGCCCCTCCACCTGTGATCCCTGCTCCGTCCCTGCAGGTACCCAAGAATCCCGTGGACCCTCGCTCGGCGACGCCGCGTCATCCAGAGCCGACGCCTCCCGCTCGACCTGACTTCGCTGCCCCGCATGGCCCTCCGCCCATCCAGGAGACCCTCGGGCCTGCAGCCCCAACACAGGACGTGGAGATGTCCATCGTGGAGGAGACCACTGCGTCCTCCGCGTCATCAACAAGAAACGCAACGGGGGATGACCTCGTGGCGTTCATAGAAGGAAACCCCAGCGTGTCCTTTGCTAGGACGGACGCCCTTGGTCTTGGGCGGGAGGAGGTCCTGGACCTCCTCTCCTCGAGGACCAAGGCCCAGAGGAATGGACCCCTCCTGTCGCCTCCGCAGTGCGACGCCCTCGTCGGCCTGATCGGTCAAATTCTGGACCTGAAGCCCGGACACACCTCTAATTTATATAAGGTCCTTGGTCAAGTTAGAGCTGAGCTAACGAAAACACCAGCCGCAGCACCAACACCCCCACTGCCTGCGCCTCGGCCTACTGGGCCGACACCGCCCGTTCCCCACGAGGAGCAGATGACAGAAGAGCAAGAGGATGTCATGATTTTTAAAATCTTCAGAAAACTGAAGCACATGACCTGCCTAAGGCCCTTATATGATACAGGGATCGATGTTATTGACCTTAAGGACGCCATTTTATTCACCGAAGACACAGCGTCCCTCATGACGAAACTTTCACCTGCGCTGAAGGGGGTCCTCGCTGAATTCCTCGGCGCGGCCATAGAACTGGCTCGGAGATACCATCACGATGTTGGCACCGATATGGACACACTTAGGCGGCGATGCCTTGATTCCTGACAACTTATAAATGTAAATATTTCTTTTCACCCTCCTGGTTGAGTTGTAACATTGACTAACAGTCAATAAAAAATTTTTTTAATTGTCAATTGTCACATGTCTATACATGTAGTACCAGGCCATGGTGGGTAGTGACAGCTTGTACTATAAGTACACCACATGTCTATACATGTAGTACCAGGCCATGGTGGGTAGTGACAGCTTGTACTGTAAGTACACCACATGTCTATACATGTAGTACCAGGCCATGGTGGGTAGTGACAGCTTGTACTATAAGTACACCACATGTCTATACATGTAGTACCAGGCCATGGTAGATAGAGGGTTAGTGCGTAGCGGAATAAGATAAATTTAGAAGAACAAGAGTCTCTCAAAGATAGACCGAAAGATAAAAAGCTCTTGTAGGGGGAACCTCCCAAATTGATCCTACCATTTTCCTAAGAATTATCAGACCTTCTGGGGCTTGAGATTTTTGGGGGAACTGCAAGAATAGTGAGAAATAAATTTCAACACACTGCTCCTTCCACATACGAGATTTTTCAAGTAATATTTCTGGAGTTCTCTTAAGGCAGATCAATATTTGAAGATAAACGTATTCAATCACGAGTGAAATTGTAGTAAATCTTTGATAATAAGAATATGTGAAAAAAAAGGTTAGGTGTTGATATTAAAAATAAATTAGGCATATCCTGACCAATGACATGAACGTTTTTTAGATCTATCTTTCTTTGGACACCAGATGTCTTCGCTTTAATTACCATGGTCTGCGATTACATATGTAAATATGTACCACCTCTCCCTTTAATTGTACATCAGAACGATGTTCATTACTGTATAACCTTGGCTGGAGGCGGTGTTCTGCTTACAAGTAGTACCAAGGATATCCGCCACCTTCTGAGAACTGTAATTGTTTTGAGTTGAGGCGATCACTCGTAGAATCACAGAGGGAGAGTTATTCTATAAAGGAATCCCACACACGGGCGTAGTTTACAAACACACTGATTTTATTTAACACAAAGCTATCCAAAATTTACATACTTGGCAAGCGGGAAAATTAATTAATTTTACAAACAAAAGAACATTATAAAGCTATACAAACAGTTTTACCGCATAAGTTTCTTTTTTATTTATGAAAAATCATTTTTAATTTCAAAGAGAAATATTTAATATTTCTAACTTTTGGATGACGTATGAAAGGTTGAATACATGAAGAGTGATGGTCTATATATGAAGGGATGACGTATGGAAGGGTGAAAAATATGAAGAGTAATGGCGAACGGAAAAATAAAAGTGTCCAGGAGCGGGAATCGAACCCACAACCTTCTGCTTACCGAGCAGGTGCCATGTCCACTAGGCTATCCTGGACGTATTTCTCCGTTCGTAACTAATATTTAAAGAACATTATACAAAACAGATAGAATTTTAACTATTATGTAACAACAAGTAGAAGTTAAATATCAATCTGAACAATCACCTTAGTGAAAACCTTATTAGTGATGTTAGAGAATGAACTACAACATCAGTTTAGGCAAATCAGACAAAAAGCTAACAACCTGTATACCATAGTTACATACTATGGCCCTCATCA